GATCTCCTTCGCTAAGGGTACTAAGTATCTTTTGTTATTGCTTTATGTGTCGTTTACTTTTAATGATTTAGTGCTGTTATCTTGTCCTTGTTACAATTTGCAACATGAAGTAAAGGTCTGATTTGTTATTACAGATTACGGGTGTGAGATTTATGTGGGAGAATATCATACAGTCAGTCAGAAAAGTGAAGGCTGGGGATAAAGGTCTTGGTTGCATTCTAGCTCACATGATGGGCCTTGGTAAAACTTTTCAGGTATTATTCTGTCTATTGCAAACTCTTCCCAAGAACTGTGAGTATTTATTTAGATGTGCTAGTTTTGTTTTGAAATAGGTGTTGGTGCATGTGGAATGACCCAGCGGCCTAGTCGAATAGCCATCTTGCAAAATGCAAGGTTGTTTTAAATGGTTGATTGATATACTCCGCATAACTTGTCAAATTGCTTTCGTAGGTCATAGCCTTTTTGTACACTGCAATGAGAAGTATTGATTTGGGATTAAAAACCGCACTTATTGTCACCCCTGTGAATGTGCTGCACAATTGGCGTCAAGAGTTCATGAAGTGGAGACCTTCAGAACTAAAGCCTCTTCGCATCTTCATGCTAGAAGATGTGTCAAGGTTTGCTGAAATATATCTATTTTGTCTCATTCCATTCTCATCACTATAAAACATTGATCTAAGATGATGGCATTAAGAAATGAAGTTGTTGTTTTGAGGGATGTCTTGCAGTCATTAGCAAATTATATCTCCGATTGGGGAGATGGTGAGTGGTGACACCAAGATGCTGACATGATTTCCCCTTGTTTGTCAGGGATAGAAGAGCAGAGTTGCTTGCAAAGTGGAGAAGGAAGGGTGGTGTTTTTCTAATTGGCTACTCAGCTTTTAGAAACTTATCCTTTGGGAAGCATGTGAAGGATAGGCAGATAGCTACAGAAATTTGTCGTGCCTTACAGGTAGGTTGACGTTAACCTCTATATTTGTCTTTACACGCCATGCTTTTTCAATTCTTTGTTACCATGTGCATTATTTCTTCTTCAACTCGTTGGACTTAAACCAAACTTTCTGGATTAATATTATTCTTGTCAAGTTGATATATAGATTGTAAGCTGTTAAACACATACTGTCATTAGCACACACTGATACTTTAGCATGATCCAAGTGATCTTTTTTTTTTGAAGAGTCTTTCTTATTGTTACATTTCCAACTCAGGATGGACCGGATATACTTGTTTGTGATGAGGCCCATGTTATTAAGAATACCAGGGCTGATGTAACCCAAGCCTTAAAACAAGTGAAATGCCAGAGAAGGATAGCATTAACTGGATCACCACTTCAGAACAATCTCATGGAATATTATTGTGTGAGTTACTCAGAAAGCTATTCATTTTGCCATTTCTTACATGCAACCTACTATCTTGATTCATTTAAATTTAAATTTTTTTGCAGATGGTTGATTTTGTAAGGGAAGGTTTTCTTGGAAGCAGCCATGAGTTTCGGAATCGGTAAGATTTCATCATTTAAACCCTGTTTTCTGTCTAATTTATTTTTGTTGTTTTAATGTATCTTAAAATTCCATCCCTTTGCATGCAGATTCCAAAATCCCATAGAGTATGGTCAGCATACTAATTCAACCGTGGATGATGTGAAAATCATGAACCAACGGTCTCATATTCTTTATGAACAGTTGAAAGGATTTGTTCAGAGAATGGACATGACTGTTGTGAAGAAGGACTTACCACCAAAAACTGTGTTTGTAGTAGCTGTGAAACTTTCAACCTTACAGAGGAAATTATACAAGAGATTTCTTGATGTCCATGGATTTACCAAGGACAATGATTATAATGAAAAGATAGGGAAGAGAAGTTTTTTTGCCGGCTACCAGGCCTTAGCTCAGGTAATAGATTCGCACACTTGTTAAGTTCCCAACTTCCATTATTCATTATAATAACATGCACTCACTCGCTCACACACTCATGTATGCATGATCGCAAAAGTATCTAGTGTTACACAAAAGGACTCCTAAGCATTTCGTAGACCTTTATTGACATTATATGTAATGCTAATTATCGTCTGCTAGTCTATTGTGTGTCTATCTCTGTCTTTCATGCGAGTTGTAATATATGACCTTATTGTTGGTTATTAGATATGGAACCATCCAGGGATCGTGCAACTAAGAAAAGACGACAAAGACTATGAGAGAAGTGGAGATGCCGTTGAGAATTTTCTTGCAGATGACAGCTCTAGTGACGAAAACATTGATTATAATTTGGGTTTGGGAGGTATTTGTTTCTTTCCTTGTTTTTTCCAGGACTTGCATGAATGTTCCCGGTATTGGTGTATGATAGAACTGGATATACAATGCAATTGGGTGAATGTATATATTCACGTATTTGACGACACTTTCTTAAAAGTATCTAACAATGGTAAGATATCTTGCTTTGCAGAGAAAAATGTGAATGAAATTTTGCCAGGAAAAAAAGATGGCATTTTTCATAAGGTATGGATTTGGACAAACTATAATGTTGGTTTTTATTCATTATGCACTTCTTTACATTTCTTTTACGGTCCATTTGACATTATTTGAAATACGCCATTGTTTTTTTAGTAGGAAAACTAATAAGAAAGGCTTTACTTTGTTTCTCAAAAAAGCTTTACTTTGTAGTTTGTATTACTATTGTTGTTTTCGTGGAGCGTAATGTTGACCAACAACCTTATCTCTTTTCAGAATTGGTGGAATGATCTTCTTCATGAAAATAACTATAAAGAGCTTGATTACAGTGGCAAAATGGTACTCCTGCTTGACATTCTAGCTATGAGTTCTGATGTGGGCGATAAGGCATTGGTATTTAGCCAAAGCATACCAACCCTAGACCTTATTGAACTTTATCTTTCAAGGCTACCTCGACATGGGAAGAAAGGGAAGTCTTGGAAGAAAGGAAAAGATTGGTACAGGTTGGTACATATTTCTGAGAACAATTTACAGTTTGACAGACAGCTTAGGTTTTTCTTTTCAGCTTTGTCGTTGCTCCATACTATATATCCTTCTTCTGACTATTTCCTGCAGATGTAGCTGCAATGTCTTTTGTATAAAAGCTATTATTTGGGTTACGTCGTTTTTACTGGATTCTTTATTGCTCTTCAGGCTAGATGGGAGAACAGAGGGCTCAGAAAGGCAAAAGCTGGTTGAACGCTTTAATGATCCCCTAAATAAGAGGGTGAAATGTGTTATAATTTCCACCAGAGCTGGATCATTAGGAATAAATCTATATGCTGCTAATCGCGTAATTATAGTTGATGGTTCTTGGAATCCAACATACGATCTTCAGGCTATATATCGTGCTTGGAGGTGAGTTTGAATTTTCTGTTGCAGTCCTTAACTCAGTTTTTGTTTGGTAAATGTGCCTTGATAAAGTGTAGATTAGGGGCTATATAGCATTAGGGAGGGTTTGTTTTTAGAATTGCCATACATCGAATGTGCCAGACAGCGAGCCTGATGATTATTCCTCCTTTATCACGCCAACTTTCCATTCTTCGGCAGGGCAGGCACATCATAAATTATATGTTTTATTTATTTATTTCCAGGTATGGCCAAACAAAGCCAGTGTTCGCTTACAGATTGATGGCACATGGAACTATGGAAGAAAAAATTTATAAGCGTCAGGTAACGAAGGAGGGCCTGGCTGCAAGGGTTGTTGATCGACAACAGGTACATAGGACAATATCTAAGGAAGAGATGTTGCATCTTTTTGAATTTGGTGATGATGAGAACCATGAGCTTGACCAAGATAACGGACACATGAACGACAGTATGACTGGTGAAGTGGAAATTTTGCCAAAACACGTAGTTCCTCTTTCTCAAGGAAGTTGCTCTTCTGACAAGCTCATGGAAAGGTTACTTGGCAAGCATTCTCCAAGGTACACTCCTGTTCTTTGTTCTCGTTTTCTTTAGCATCTGTTGGTAAGCGTAATTGCCTTTTACTCTGGCGCAATTGGCAACTCATACTTCCCTCCTCTTACGCATGAACTACCATGTTTTCAGGTGGATTGCAAATTTCCACGAACATGAGACCCTTTTGCAAGAGAATGAAGAAGAAAGGCTCACAAAGGAGGAGCAAGACATGGCCTGGGAAGTATACCAGAAATCATTTGGATGGGAGGAAGTGCGGAGAATTCCTCTCAAAGAATCTGCAATCGACCAAAAACCAGCTGCATCAAATACTGCGTCATCTGCACCAAAGAAAAGCATCCTTGCTGAATCCAAGGCGAAGAATGCTTTTGTGCAGCGGAAGTGCACCAACCTTTCGCATTTGCTGACGCTAAGAAGTCAGGGCACAAAACAGGGTTGCACTACTGTGTGTGGGGAATGTGGCCGCGAGCTAAGCTGGGAGGAGCACAATCGAGATAGCAGGCTCAGGTGAACGGGAGTGCCTTCCGATTTGTTCTCGTCTTTTGTCCGATGTAAATGGTCCAATTGTATCGTTGCCCCTTGAACACAATTTGGGAAATTGGAACATTCTTTTATTGTGTGTATTGATCGAGTCTTGCAGCCAACCCCGCTTAGTAGGATAAGGTTTGGTGGTGGCTGTTGATCGAGTGTTGATTAGTGTCCAAAATATGAGGAGCCCTTTCCCCTTGGATACTTGTTTTTTGGTTTTGGTGGGGGAAGAAAAAGGATTTTAGTTCTTTTGATACCAAAGAAATAGGTTTGTGTAAATCTGAGGACAATGAAATGAGCAATGAAAATCTCTTTTTTGCTTTCTATGAATTTTTTGTGATTTTTTCTCAATTAATTAATTAATTATTGTGTGATTTGAGACCATATTTAACAAAGCGATTTTCACATTTTTTCTTCTTCTGCACACATTTCTTTATTTGTGCACGTCCTTTGTTTAATTCAATGCAAAGGCGAGACAGAAAGTACGGTGGAGAAATTGAATCTCGAGGATTTAAAAAAAATTAAAAAAGAAAAAAAACTTGTCGAATTTTTTAAATCGTATAAATCTTCATTGAAATTTAACCAATTTGATTACTGTGTTTCATAATATTGACATGGCCATGGAAATTCCCTACAATGCCCCTTCGTTCATCGAGAATCAAGTTCCTTCTCCCCTCTCCCGGAAGAGATTATCGGGATCCCTACCGGACTTATTTTTTCCGAAGACAATAAATACATCTGGCAAGGTTCGACAACCCTTTCGTAGTACCGTGGGTCGAGTTACTTCCCCGCCTCGCGCGATTGCTTGTTACCTAAGAAATCTCGTTACAACATTCTTTCACAAGCCATTAACCATCCATAACCAAGGAAAGAAAGTAGTTCATATGCCAATTTTGCTTGGAAGAGCTATCATCTTTCATCTCCTACCCAATTATCCTTCTCCTTAGGGCCAGTTGGCCCTTCCTCGCCGTAGATTTGCGTAGGAAACAACTCGATTAAGTTCTCGACAGAGAATCGAACAAAGAACGGAAGGCGATCAATCAACTTATCTAGTTCCGATCGTCCATCATACACAATGGTCGGACCCCAGTCTCGCATATACTGCAACCAACATGGTTCGGATATAACGCCATTGCCAAGGTACTCGGCCGCAACAATTTGATACTTGGTGCTCGAATCAATGAAGAACTTGCTCCGCGCAGCGTCATTTCTTACTCCTATGTCAAACTTGGATGAACCCTGGAGGTAAGTCCCGGGATGAGCATAGCTACTATGACCGTGTTTTGATGAGTACACAATCGGCTTACTCCCTTCGATGAACTCCAAGTCAAAAGCATCCACCCATCTGCCACCGCTGTGCTCTGAGAAATACACTTGCCAGAGTTCTCCCGTGAAGTTGTTCACTCGGAGAGTGAAGTGCTCCCAGTCACCGACATGTTCGCCTATCTTGTTCAGTGCAATATTTACCAAACCAATTTTAATGGTGGACGGTCCATTGAAGGGGCAGAACACCCACATAGCAATATCTGTTAAAGTTCCTCCCAATGCTGGTTTTACATGAACGTATAGCTCCGCACTGTCTATGTTTCCGGCCTTGAGCAGATTTTTAGCTTCATCATCGCTTGGCAAATCTATCCAAAAATCACTATCATTTTCCCCTCCAGCAGGCAAATTGGAGCCTCTGTAATCAATCGGTTCGCCATTCGCAGTGTCTTCCCGGTACAAAAGTGCCCCGTTTTTGAAAAACCATTGTACTGATGATGGCAAATAAACCTCATTAGGATGGAAGAACACTGTGGGGCCGTAGTGCTCAATTAGTGAATGAATCTGGTTCAGGTTTGGCATTGCGTGTAAGGACGGATCAAAATTCTTCAAGCACGCAACTTCTAGCTCTTCATCGGAATCCAAGTAGGTACTGCAAAAGAATGTACCAACCGAAACACCACTGCAGAACATACCTCGTTTGCAGGGTCTTGTATTCCACACCTGAAATTGGTCCAACTTTGAATCCATGGCAAGTATCCGATCATGTGTTTCACAAGTCTCTGTAAGATCTTCTCGTATGCACCTAACTTCTTCAGGGCTGGGTTCCTCAGGCTTGTCAGTGACCACAAAACCCATGGCCTTGTAACCAACAGGTGGGTTTGGCAACCAAATATAACCACAACCATTATTACTTAAATCCGCATTCCAGACTAATGAGTAGTTAACCGGCTTTTTTAAAGCCGGTAACTCTAATGCTGAGCCTCGAGTACAACCATCTTCCACCCTTTTGGCAACCGTTTCACGCACCACAAGAACATACCCTCTCAATGGCTGATCATTCCGCTGGCAGTAGTAACCAAGGCAAAAGAAGTCATCGGGGATCCCTGCAGGTCTATAAAAGGTGACACCCTTTGATTTGCCACGCAACAGACTACAGCTCCAGATGCTCTCAAACTTGGTGACTTGGATAACTTCAATTTCTCCGAGGCGTATTCTTCCAGTAGCAAATCCTTCGCCTGAAGAATTGACGGGACACATTGATCAGAAAACGAGTTCATAACAATACATTAACATTTACATAAAACGTGATGGTAAAACTCAGCATGACATTGGTGTTCTAGGTTTATTAGTTATAATCTTCCTTCTTCTTGGACCTGTGTTCAGGCAAAACATTAATTTTGAACAGTTTCAAAGAAACTCGAAATCGAGCTCCTCAAATGTAGCTTAAAGACGAGCTTCAAACTTTTACATTATGAATTCTTTTCCGCGTGTCAAACGCGGCCTCCGTGTAATTAGGGAAGATTTTACAACTTTGAAACTTCTTAGAATTTGACATTTTAATCAAACATTGGACTATTGGAGAACATAAAAAATTTAGAACTTTGAAGCTTTCAAACTCCAAGAACTTCAACTTTCAAGGCTTTTCTGCAAATCTATGTTTCAAATATTGACCAAGTTCATGGACTTGTTAAAATTCCAAATTATTTAAAAAAAAAAAAAAAAAAACTCTCTCCTTTTGACTTTGTGGGATGTTTGGGGGAAAGGGGGAGCTGCAAGTTTTGCAAAAATATGTGCACCTGAACCTCAGTAGGCACCGCCCATGAGAGTAGAATTATCTCCCTCCTACTCTCGTCCCCTTTTCTCCCTTCCTCTAGCGTATTAGTTTTTGTCTTATTATTTTTATAAAAAAATTAATATAAAATGTTGACGTGGTTTAACCGTAATCGTTCAAATAAAAGAGAAGGGAAGGAAAGAGAGATTTGGCTCCTCCTTCCCCATGGCATTGAGCTTATTGGGAAAACTAAACTGCCTTTAATTAATTTATTTACTCAAAAACAAAGTTGGACCACCAAACAAAGACAAATAAATTGAAAAAAAAAACATATGAAAGAAATCAAGAGTACAAGGTAAAGAAAGAAAAATCTTGAACCAGTTAGAAGTGAATCATTTAATATATTATATTAGCTTAAATGTCATTCTCCGTCAACTAAGAGACATTCACATTTTTGTCCTTTTACAAAGCACATGTTAATTTTAATTAGATTTTAACGGACTGCTTAGAATTGATTAACGAAGATTAATTTAGACAAATTAAAAATACTAAGACCAAATATATTGATAGGATAAAAGTTAAAACGCAATAATTATTTTGACATTTAAATATTTTGGTTGTTTGTCATATTTCCGAAGGGGACTTTTATATCCTTCAAACAAACACAATATAGCAAATCTGATGAATTAAGTTCTTGTGAAAAAGAATAATTAGCTAAAACAAGATAGATAACCTCAAGAAACCCATTAAAAGAAGCAGTTACAAGGGATAAGTGATTAACTGCAAAAGTGCTTCTGTTTAGGAAAGAAAGGATCTTGGTGGGAAATATTACCTTGAGGCCAGTGTGGAAGAGGTGAAGGCAGAGAGAAGGGCTGCGGCTGCGGCTCTGAGTAATCATACAATTGGTCGTCACTGCTCCTCCACCACCAACACTCACACCCCAACATCTTCACCCCCTCTCTCTCAAATTCAACAACCCACAAAAAAGGTATCTCCAAGATTATGATCCTCCTCACTCACCCTCTCAAATTTCTCTCTCCAACCATGTTTCTGAAATATTTTAGAGAGAGAAAGAAAGAAAGAAAGCTGTTTCCTTTCTCTCTCTACACTTGAGTCTTGAGAGAGAGAGAGAGAGAGTTGAAAAGAAAAGCAGGTTGAGTGAATACAAAGGAAGGAGAGAGAGAGAGAGAGAGAGCTGGTGGAGGTTGGTTCGGTTTGATTTGTTGTTTGCTTTTGCGTAAGAGTTTTCCACTTGGAAGGTGGTGGCGTTTGTTCGTTTCAAGTTCCGTTCTTTGTCTTCATTAATTTTTGTGAAGCCTTTGCTTAATAAATATCTCCTTCACCCTCTCCGTCTTTCAAAACAGTTTATATAGCTGCACTGTCACGAGATATTTTGTATTAATAAACATAAATATATAAAATACTTTTGAAAAATAGATAAAAGTTATATATATTTTTGTGATAGTGTACATGTATCATGTAATTTCTTCTTCTTTCCACTTTAGTAAGCGGCCATTTTTTTTCCGTTGTGACGTATAAATTCTTCTCCTTTGTCTATTTTAATAAAAAAATATTCCATGTAATCAAAATATAAGTCAGCACATTACATCTTATGATATAATTAAAGATTATTTAACTTTTAATATTTCTCCACTTATATTATTCTATGTGTTATATTGACACATGTTATGAGTGCACTGAATCTCTTGAATAAACTCCCTATTTGTTTTTATAAATTCTGTATATTTTTATGCCTACCTTTACCAAAGAACAAAAACTTTGAACTTGAAAAAATTCATTTATTATTTTAATGAACAAGACCATAGGATATTCTTTGACTTGGAGACTATTCTTCAAAAGTACTTTTTTACATTATTCCTATGACTTTTCTTTTTGAACAAACTATATTATCAATGTTAAAGAGGAGAGTAAGTTTAGTTTCACAATTAGCTAGTAATAATGTGGTTCAAATTAGCCTTTGGCGAGAATCGAACTTAAGACTTATCACTCACAAATAAATAGAAATATCACTAGACCGTAGTATTAAGTTGTCCAATACTCCTATGACTTTAAATGCAATAAAATATTAATAAAAAGGTTTTTGATATGTTTAAATTGAATACAACGTGATATTACAAATTCTTTTTATACGTAATAAACACATGTATTTGGAAAAAGAAAGGAAGGATAACAAAGACTTTAAATCATTACAACTTTTTAAAGTGTAATTAGAGTTCTCTTGAGGGTTATACTTCTAATTACAAGAAAATCTAGGCTGTAAGTTGAGTCTTGAGCTATTATTTTTTATTGTGATACGCGATGAGAAAAATACTATAAAAAAACAATACGTCTATGTGTACTCTCTTTCTTCTCCTAATTACAATCAAGATTTTTGTCATATTTCCCATCCCACAATCATCAACTCCTCAAAAGTATTCACTGTTTAATGATTGACACCTAATTTACATAAAAGTGTTTGTGATACTACCTAACTAAGTTTTTGCAATGGCAATTCCGTGCAGGTAATGTATTCATTTATGTTTAGTCATATTCGTTATTTTTATTTAATTTGTTTAAAAATAATGTTGAAACTAAAAATAATATGTGAAATTAGCCCCTTATTTCAAGTAAGGCCGTTGGATAAGTACTAGATTATATATGCAAAGATGCTTTGTTGGTGACAAAGATTGATGCTTTTGGCTTTTTTGTAAGTTGCCCTTTCACTTGCATGCTATCCTATCAAATTGGGTCCATTCTATAGTTCAACATTATTATAATTTTGCCTTCCAACAATATTACTATTTGTCTTCCAAATATCTATGACATTGAGAACAATCTTGCTCATCATCTTTAACGGATTTAGATTCATTTTGAAGTTTTGTGTCCGAGTCTACGGATTGAGAGTCATTAGCCCATCCTCCTAACCCCTTTACAAAAACTCAAAAACTTGAATGGTTTAGATCTCCTTACTCTCTTAAACGCTCTGCTAACTCCAAACACAAAATTTCAGAACAAATCTAAATCCATCTTTAACTATCGTCCTATGTTCAATTCCATATCAAGTGTCGCAATAGTTGAATTAAAAGTCTAAAGCCGCCACATCGGACTTCAAATATTCAAAAGGAATATAAGCTGCCGGAGTACATGTTACACGAAGATAACATGGTTGGCACAAAATAATTTATAAAAATAAAATCAAAATTGAATAAAACAAGAGGTAGAATATAAATCATAATTCATCGAACGTTGACGTTGATTCCACCAACAAATAAAAAAGGATTTTAGCAGTGCTTTGTGAATTTAGTTCTTTCTTCTGATTTATTATTTCGACTTTTAATGTAGTTTTGAGCGTCCAAATTTTTTAAACCTTTCAACTTGTAACATATTATCGAATTTGACGATTGAGGTTATTTTCGTCCATTCAAGTTGGAAAGATGAGGTAAAACTGGCATAGTTTTTTAAAGACAAATTGGCACGTCTTAAATGATTATGATTGCTCAAAACCAAAATGAAAGTCGAGCGGACAAAAAGAAGGTTACGAGACGAGAACATAGATAAAATTTTCTCGTTTTCCCTCAAATAATGATATTTTTTATGAAGCTTAATGAGACAAAATTGGTGCCGATCCTAGTAGCGCACGCTTATAACTAAATAAGACATCAAAATGATTGGTGGTTATGAAGCTCAATCATGTGAGTAAAGGTGTTGTAATCTGCTTCACAGACTACTATTTACAGTGTGTGAAGTTGAGTGATCATTCACCAGAGATTGTGAATGACTAATTTTTCTCAATCTCTTCGACCTTGGTTTCGTAGGAGACTAGAAGAAAGTTTGAAAGATTGAGAAATAGAACCATCTGATTTGATTTCTAAACAAAATTGATTATATTGGGCTTTATTTGTATAGGACAAAATTCGGCCGCAATTTTCTTCTATTTTTGGGCTTATATGTCAATCAAATTCTAAATTCTGACCCAAATACTTTTGGGCCATTGACCCAAATTTTAAACTTTCTTCAGTGCTCACTCCTCCTCCAGCTTCCTCAGCATTTTCTATTCAATCCATTTCCCACTGGAAAAACCGACAACATTGATGGCTTTCACCTCCAGCCGGAACTTCACTCCTTTCCGGTGGCCACGTCACCATGGACTCCATCCTCGCCTTCCGCCCCCTCCCCAACTGCTTCTCGCTGTCCCGAAATCCCCGCTTCTCAAATTTCGCCGTCAACCGCCGCATCAAAATACAAACTTTCGCTTCCAAATCCCCGAAACACCCCCGAATTCCACTCCCAATTCCGCGCATTCCCCTCCTTTTTAGATTTCTAGAAGCTTCCAGAAGTGTTGGCTCGAGGGAAGAAGAAAGGCCGGCTCTTTCCGCCCAGCGCATTGCGACGCAGGTGGTGTTGGCGCTGTTCTGCTATGCAGTCGGGTTTTCACCGTTTCGGGGGGTTCGGAGTGTCGCATTCGCGGCGCCGCTGGTTCGGAGGCGGTTTTGGATAAGGAGGAGGTGAACTTGGAGTATACGAAGAGGCTGCTTGGAGACGCTGTGTGTGTTGCTGAAGAGTGTGGGTGAGGTTAGAGTAGGAAATGGGGATGTGAAGCTCGTCGAGGCGGCATGGAAGGCGGTGAGGGGGAAGAAGGATGAGTTGCAGGACGAGATATCGATATCTGCAAACTACAAATGGCATTTGTTTATTGCTTAATATTGAGATAGACTCTTCTTGGTAATGGTAGGATTTGCTAAGAATTTTTGAAGAAAATGGCGGTGTTATTATGTAAAGAATATTGTCTTTGATGACTTATATTTTGCTTACCGATGCTGCAATGGCAGCATGGTTTATATACAGTTTGCATATACACGCATGCAATAAACAACAATAAAGGTGGCAGAAACTAAACAACAATAAAGGCGTCAGAAGCCATGTGATTGTCTGGCTGGGAGTATTCCTTCTGTTGTCCAGGTTGTACAGCAGCTAGTGGGATTATTAGTGGACATCATGGGATTATTAGTGGACAGCATTAGCTTCATCATCCCCCCGCAAGCTCATGAGCGGACGACGAACGAGCTTGGACTTTAAGAAATGAAAACGATCAGCAGATAAGCCCTTGGTGAATATGTCTGCAATCTGAAAAGTAGTAGACACATGATAGACATTTAATGACTTTGCCACTACAAGCTCACGCACAAAATGATAATCCACAGCAACATGTTTTGTTCGAGCATGGAACACGGGATTAGATGCCAATGCAATGGAGCTTGTGTTATCACACCAAATTAAAGGAGTCGAAATACGGATGCAAAGCTCCTGCAGCAGTTGTTGGATCCAAACAAGTTCAGTTGCCGTGATGGCCAACTGCCGATATTCGGATTCGGTACTTGAACGAGCAACTGTGCGTTGCTTTTTGGAGCTCCAAGATATTAAATTTGGACCAAAATATATGCAAAAACCACCAGTGGAGCGTCTAGTGTCTGGATCCCCAGCATAGTCCGAGTCTGAAAATTCGACCAAATCAGTACCGCCGCGACTAAACTGAAGCCCGTCCTCAGGTGTGCCTTTTAAGAAACGAAGGATGCGTTTTACTGCAATCCAATGAACTGAGGTGGGCTGGTGCATATGCTGACATACCTGATTTACTGCATACGTGATGTCAGGTCTGGTGATGGTTAAGTATTGCAGAGCGCCGACCACACTGCGGTAGTTGGTAGGATTAGGCAAGGGAACACCATCAAGAGAATGAAGTGGGGAGCTAGATTGAGCTGGAGTAGCACAAGGCTTGGCGTCCAACATATCTACACGCTGCAACAAATCGAGAACATATTTTGTCTGCTTTAGATGTAACCCATCAGCTCCACGAGTTGCTTCAAGACCCAAGAAAAAATGGAGGGGTCCCAAATCTTTCATAGAAAAACTCTGACCAAGTGCATGGATAAGGGAGTCAACATGAGAGCATTGATTGCCTGTGATAAGGATGTCGTCAACATAGATTAGAAGAATCAAATATACTCCATGATTATTAAAAATGAAGAGAGAATGATCTGCTTGTGATGCCACAAAACCCAAATCAAGAAGATATTCAGAAAAGTGATGAAACCATGCTCTTGGGGCTTGTTTCAAGCCATATAAGGA